CCAAACCTCCCCCGTCGCTCACTGATGGCGAAGGTGATCTGAGCGATGGTCCCCATGGACTGCGGGATCCCCCTTTTCATGCTGCTCCGCGGGCCCTGGTACAGCCACGCCGCCGCCAGGAGCAGCCCCGCGCCGCACACCAAGCGGCAGCTCAGGCAGCCCCCGAAGAGCGGCCGCGGCTCCGCCGGCGCCGGCCCCGACCCGGGCGAGACCTCCCCGGGGCGTGACATGGCGGCGCCGGAAGAGGCGCCGGAAGTGCGCGGCGCTAATTCGGGTCCGTGTAGCGGCGGTCGCGACCGCGTCCCGCCACGAAGGTTCCGCCTGATTAACGGGGGGAGTTAACGGAAGGTTTTAGGGGCGTCGTTACCGAAGGCCTCCCGGTGCTGACGTCACTCCCGCCGCAGCGGGGCCTGAACGGCGCCAGGAACCGCCGATGACCCCGCGTGCAGTGAGGCCTCCCCGTGAGGGGACACGGCGACGCCGGAAGTATGTAACGTGAAACGAGTCCGTGCGGCAACACCAGTCAGTTAAACCAGTCGGTGAGCAAACCGCGCCCCGCACTGACGGTTCCGCCTGGCAGTTACCGGGGGTCGTTACCGGGAGTTGGGGGAGGGAGGGGGGAGGGGTGGGTCTCCCGGTGCTGACGTCACTTTCGCCACGGCACGGGCCGCCGCGCCACGTTCTCGTCGGTCTCAGCCGCCTCCCGCAGAGCCGCCATGATCAGCTCGTTGTGGCGGCGCCGCTCCGCCAAAACCTGCGAGTTCGCCTCGGGAAGGGCCTGGAAAGGGGGACACAAAAGGGGTCACGGGGGTCTCCCGCCCCCCACGGCTGTCCCGAGGAGCCGTCGGCGGTACCTTGAGGCTGTCCAGGCGGTCCCGCTCGCCCCCGGCCATCGCCACCCAGAAAAACAGCCCCAGCGCCACCGGGGCGGCCCCGCGGGCGAGCGCCAGGGCCCAGCGAGCGGCCGCCATTGAACCCCCCGCGGCAACTTCCGGGGAGGGGCCGCCCTGGAGGGGCCGCTCTGGCCGGGCGGGATCATAGAGAGGGGATGTGGGAGGACCGCGGGACACCCCCACACAAAGGAAGG